TTAAACATGTTGCATTGCTTACTAACCAATGATGATTTTCCAAGCTCGTTAGGAATGAACACTTACCTGAAAAAGAAAAACACTATTAGTAACAGATTAACATTCGAAGATTATTTTGAAATTATTGCATTCGATTGCGAAAAATACAAGGATAAATTGAAGATGCAGGGTTTTCAAGACCCTTCATGAAGTACATACAGTATTGTTTAATTTAAGTTAGGTTTATTTTAATTAAGTTTCATTGGCTCAACATAATAAATTCTACATCTAAAACGTGGCAATAAYAATGTTTTTCTTGATCCCCTGGTGGAACGTACGTACTTTCGCCACTATTTTCGAGAGCGAAAGMATCACTTTTACCCATTACAAATTTTCTTCATCCAGTGTGAAAAGTAACAATTTTCTTTGGCGGCTAGTTTCCACCKAGTATCAAGAAAACAGTATACAGTTTGSGTTAGTGATGAAAATTGAAGGCCCACTACTACGTGCGTGACGCCCTCGGCTTTGTCTCGGGCGTCAACTTTAAGCAGTGGCGAAACTTCGACTTTCGTCTCKTGTACCGTAATATAYTGTTGTACCCTACTATAAAATTAATTTTTGCGTTAACTCTCAGATATTCCGTTCACTCCGTTTCAAATATTCTGGATTATGTCCAGTACTTCATTCTGTGACAATTCGAAGATGGAAGTAAGTGATCCTAAATATGATGTGAGTAGATTATTCGCACTTCCCAGTTATCGTGTTAATGGACCCAAAATGAACTCTTTGAGTTTTCCAACAGATTTTAAGTGTAAATATGATTCAAAAATGAATCCTATTAAAAAGTGTTCAATGTTTCCTAAATTGGACTAATCGTATGTACATTGATTGTATCTTGAGTTGATGTCAATTGGATAAGAGAATATGAAAAGAACCGAAAAAGCGATAATTTGATAAACTCAGAGTTTCCAACATTCTAGAACGATTTAAATCGGTTACCTTATTGTAGGTGTTAACCATATTTTCGAATTCCTTTTCTTTTTATTTTTTCCTTTCGTTTTATTTAGTTAGTTATTTATTACTATGTTAATTAAATTAGATTAAAACATTTGAAATTTTTATAAATCATGTGTAGGCTTACTGTATTTACTTGTCAAAATTGATACATACAATACGATTGTTCATGTAACTTTTCCTTGCTGCAAATCGATGTAAATACAGCCGACAATGTAATTATAAAACATTTCATTCTTTAGTAGTGGCAAATTTTGAAATTACTATTCCTTATATTTTTAGCATAATTAGTGTTCGTATTTTAATCACGACGATTCAAAAGAATGTTAACAATTGTGAAATAGAAAAAAACGTGTAATGTTCGTAATATACATTTTTTTACATGTGATGCCAGAACTTTTTTTAAACAACTTTTAACCCGTAACATGCCAACGTAAAACTGAAATATCTAGGATGAGTAAATGTAAAGTGCAAACGGATTGATCAGGTTGTCCTCAGTGCCTGAAATGTTGACTGATTTTCAGTTACAATTCTGCACTATTTTGTAGATATTTGAATCAAAATTTGTCGAAAAATCTAGTCAACGTTAGAAAACTCCATTTTCATTGTTGTTCGTCTTAGGCACATACTTTCTGGATTATCAGTTCTGTCGCAATGTAGTTTCCATAAGGCTTTTGAAGACTCGTCCAAAAAGAAGGAAAATGTTCTTAATCAAGTTGCAAATGACCCTTCGATTAGCATTCTCCAAATTGGTAGGGCCTGGATGCAACCTAATCTTCCGCTTGGTGGTGTTACATGAGCAACTTTATCCTTTTAGAAAAAGTTCAATCACCATCTACATGACCCGTTCTTCCAAGATAATGAATACGTCTTTGTTATCTGCAAGTCATTAGCTACATTTTAGATAAAAATTGTTCATACATAGCAGACCAGTTTATACAAGTCTGCTCTTTCCGATGCGTACAGCGTCAAAAACAACATGAAACCTCAATCATTTTCAAAAATTAGGGGTGGCACAAGTTCGGTTCCACCCCCAATTTTTTTTGTTATATTAATTGCCCGAATACAAAAACCTGTGCCTAAATGGCCTAAACGGTTTCAAGATTATTCTGGTCTTTAGGTAGTGTTTTAGTGTACGGATTGTCATGCAATAGCTTGCACATATGCACAGAAAAAACTAACGCACACGATTTACTTGGGATCTCCTGTAAATAATGTGGGCAAACCCTATACTTTGTTTCATATGAAAATGCAAATATTAACCCCTATACTACACCATACTGTATTACAGAATGCTATAATATAAAACACGTGATTCGTAAATCGTTTTAATAAAGTTCCAATTTGTGGCACTCGGAAAAACGCAAATGCATGATCGAGATTGGACATCTACATTTTTGAAACATTTCTTAAAGTACAACCTAGATAAAAAAATTCTATTTTTAAATATTTCACTGTCGAATTTCGTTATCCGTAAGTACATGTGTGGAACACAATTTAATTACAATTTGGGCATGATGCAAAGAAGAAGAGATGAAGATCGTCCAAATGCGAGGCAGACAAACCAATATGTTACAAGCGAAATAATCCAAGGCTTGCTTTTTTATGTTGCTGCACTCGGTATTCTGTTACTTGGGATATATGAAGCTATTGGATGTAAGTCAATTTTACTTAATAAGAAAACATTATTCTTCAAAATTATCTCACGAGACTTAGTTTTGTGTGTACTTTATAAACGTATTCTTCCATCAAAGATTTGAAAGGACCGCCAGCCCAATGCCAAACAGCCGAGTGCATTAAAGCAGCCAACTATATTATAAGTTACATTAACCAGACCGCCGATCCATGTGAAGATTTTTACAAATTTGCCTGTGGTAACTTCCACAAAAACAACATGGCAATGGAAACGAAAAATGTGCTTGATCAAATGGATGTCACCAAACGACAAACTTTGGATCAGCTATTGATTGGAGATTATATAGATGATTCCAAGTTCAGTGGTAACCTCCAGCTTGCCCGTAAGGTATGTATGACTCGTACCCATATAACATATAGCGAGACTAGTAAACGCATTCTAAAGTATCAATTTCAACTGGGTTGAATTTGAATGTTTTTTTTTAAGTTCTATAAGAAATGCACAAACATAACAGCAATTAACGAGGACAAAGATGAAACTTTTTTGGAAATAATGCTCAAAGTTGTTGGAGGTATTTGTAGAAAGCCATTGTGGCAGAACGTTGCAGTGAACGCCAGAAAAAATGGAATGAACTTCAATTTTTTCCTGAATGTTTCAGTTACACAGGCGCAGAACAAGTACATGTTACTGGTGAGGATGAAAAAGTGTGTTCAATTACCGGTGCTTTCCTTTATTGCCTTAACATTTATTTAGTGGCAAAACTTAAAATTTTGTGACGTTTAAAGTGGTAATTATACAGTCCCCATGAGTTATATGAGCAAATTTCGCAAAAAATTATTATTTGCACTTTTCCTGAATTCACAGCAGTTCTTGAGATGCCGAAATGTGTGTAGACGTAGATGCCAAAGTAGAGCAAATTATATCATTTTTGCAACCAGTTTAATTTTGGACACCTTGTATAAAACGACTCGGACAAAACCGAATATTGTGTTCAAAATTTGCATTAAATACTAATAAAATTTTAACTACTCTTTAATTGCGAGTGGACAAACTCTATTATTTCTAAACGTTCTCATAATGATGTAGCATATAAAAAATCATGCTGGGGATCAAAAGACATCTTAAAATTACACATGTTTATGCATTATTTGGCCGATACATTGGCATAATAAGCATAATTAACTAAGTAAGTTTGTTTGATAAACTAGCAATAGAAAACATTATGAACCAAAAACTAAACCAAGAATATGCATTAATGCGCTTGAATGTATTTTAACATTTAGATTGCACCTCCTTCCATTAAACATGATTGGTTTGATCTTCTATCGCGGTACAACAATATCGAGCATATTAAAAAAATTGCCCAACACTGGATCAGCGACGATATTGCGGAATGGTTTTTGGCAGATCCTGAGAAAATTCTTGATTTTGCGATGCAGTTTCATCAGGTAAGCATGCACAGTGTTTTGGTTTAAATAGATTTTACGGAATTTCTGTTTTTCGTAGATTTTAATAAAATCTAACCAGCAAATCGCACATATTCAACAAAATATACAATCAATTTTGCAACTGAATCATCAAAACAAATACTTTGAAAATTGGTTGGATTTCCTTCAAAAGTTGACTGGTATACAAAGTTTAAAGGAGTCTGATACGGTTTTGTACCTAATAGGTGATACAAGTGGTACATACGATTACCTGTCGAGCTTGAACTCTTTGTTAGAAAACACACATTGGACGTAAGCAGTTAAAATCTCATATTATTAAATGTTTTCCTCTAATTTACTTTAAGGCTAATCATTAGTTTAAAAAGCAATGTTTCGGCTTTAAATTGTCGGAAAAAAACTTTCCTTTCTAAAACTTCTACTTTTCTCCACTACCTGAAAATTCCGAAATACTGCTTTAAAGACTAGGATCATCTGCTATCACTTAATTACGTAAAACATAAAAGTCACATATGCTCTAAAGTTGACTTAAATATTTCTAAATAGTATGAAAGCCCTACTAAATTGAAAACTTGAAGAATATGATGTATTTGCGGAGGCATTTTGCAAATGTAATTTCCATTGCAATTTCATAACATTTAAATGCATAAAATGTGCAGCTAAAACTTGGATTGAAAAAATAATTTTTCACATGCCTATAGAAATATAAAACTCCTTAAACAACAAAAGGATTTTCATTACATTTGTTAAAACATAGTTGTTTTACATTTTCACAATTTTAGTGTAAAATAAGGCCTCTTAGTGATGAACTTTATACAATTATACCCAGAAAAAAATTAAATTTTTGTGTTTAGTAAGCAGCTTGAACAACCGAAAAGCTCTGAATAAAAGCACCAACATACATGCGTACTCAATTTTAATATTTCAGTGAATATTTAATTTTGTTTGCAGCGTTTGGATAAATTACTTCATTTTATTGAATACTGTAGAAAATTGTAATTTTTTATCTACGACCCTTCAAGATATTTGCCGTAATATGATGCCAGATCGGAGTGTTGATACGAGGAAAAACTACTGCAAAAGTATGGCTCAAACGTTGTAAGTCATTTTTAAAAACCACACTCATTTTATTCAAATATATAGTGGCATTCCTCCGAAAGGTTTCCAGGCGAACAGGAGAATGAATACCTTAATAATCTAATAAACACAGAGAAACAAAGCCATGTTAAAGAAATTATGGACAATTTAAAGTCTACATTAGAAACTAGTGCTAGTAATTTTGAATTTATGAATTGGATCTCCAGACAAGAAATCGTGAGTCGAGTGAAACCCATAAGCACAATTATCGAAACTAAAAGCACGTTATATAACAGTTGGCATCAGGAACAGTATGAGGAGGTTCGTTTATTATTTAACAAAATCTAATTAGCTAAATGTTAACATATACGGACTGTAATTCAAAACATGCGACACATTTTTAGGAAACCTCGTCAAACACTCTGATAGAAATGTATTTTAACATCAGAAAAGTGCAGATAATTTCTAATTTTAACTTCACTCGACAGCAACTCATCCAGACATATCTAGATGATAATAAAATGCCGAGCATGGAGACCAACATACATTTTATACCAAATCAGAGCCACATATGTAAGTTACTATGTGAAATATTTAGGAAAACATACATACATCGCCTTTGCTTCAAAGCGACTCGCTCATTAGAAGATATTTTATTCGGGAAGTTTGGAGCTTAAAACAGGTCTATTTATATATAAAGAAGATATTCAAAACAACATTTGATCTAGTTTTCACAAATCCTTCGCATAGGAAGAATTTGAAATGGCAGCACTTATCAAGTGATATCTGCTGTATTCCGAAAAAAACTAAAATCGTTGTAAAAACGTAAATTTTAAGCGAATTGAAATATATAAAACTATTGCTTAAAAAAGCCTCTTAGCACATTTAGCCTGTTTTGTGATTTATTCAGGTAGGAATATCAGATGCAAATACAATTCTACAAACGCAAGAACCATCAGCTCCGTAAATCCGTGTAAAGCATTTATTCCAATAATCACAATCTTTACTGTTATTGATGTTCAATGTAGTGCGTACGAACCCTCTTTGGTACTTCCATTTCAGTTGCTCGGAAACATTCGAAAAATTCAGTCTTTTAAGTGGTTTTTTAATTACCACGTGATTTATACGAATTTATGTTTGAATGTCTTTGGTCATTCTTTCTGTTCTGGCTAATTTATTGAATTCATGATTTTTTAGATGTGCTAGCACCAATTCTGCAGTATCCGATCTACGATAGGAACTGGCCGCAATATCTGAATTATGGTGCATTGGGAACTATGATAGCTCATAAGTTAATTCAAGCAGTTTTATATCCAGACATTATCTTCGATGATAAGCGACTTATGAAATCCGGATTGCAACCTGATATCATAAAACATTTACTAAATTTTAAAAATTGTATATATAACGACTATACGCGTCATTTTAGTACAGATGACATGCCCAAGGTAATTACTAGTATTATTAATTTCCTCGGATATCTTGAAACTTTCTATAAATATCCTCCTTCAACACCTCTGTTACGCTTGTTAGGGCTGAGCGTAATGGTTTTTATTAATTATCTGCCCCATACAGTTTATTTTATTTTCTTCTTACTTTCGCTATTGGCTTTACATTTCAATATAGGTTCGAACACCCGTTATTTTTTAGGAAATTGTGTTATTCTGTCTTGAGGAATCGTATGCAGATTTTGCTAGTATAAATACAGCATACAAAGCATATAAACATTGGGTCCAAGAACATGGTTCTGAAGACACACTTCCAGGTAAAAGATATACGTTTTTGTAGAACATTTTAGAAGCTCGTGAAGAAATTCATCAGTTTTTGAATGGATCTTGTTGTTTACTGTTTACAGAGCTACTCATATGCCATCCGGCCCATTCACAATGCTGCTCTATATCAATCAAAATATTTTTTTAATGCTTTATAGAGCGTTCAAAACGTTTTAGCGGTTGAACCTACAGTATCTGTATAAAACATGATGTAAAAAGACACTGTAGTTGAACCAACAGATCTTCCATGTATATGTAATTTTTTATCAACTTTCTCCTTTTTCAGGCTTAGCCTACACTGCGAATCAATTATTCTGGATCATGTCCAGCATCCACTTATGCTATGAACCAACATTCGATCATCCTGGGAAAACGCTACAATATTCGAAATTCCATGAAGCGTACAAAAATGGCATTCCTAGTTATCGGATTAATGGCCCACGAAAACACTCGTCTGATTTTGCTGAGGATTTTAATTGCAAATGTCACACAAAAATGGATCATTTAGACAAATGTATAACATTCGCTTAATTCCTTAACAGTTAAATTTTAATTGTAAGGCATTATGCGGTTATCAAAACTACAATTTTTTTGAATCTGCATTATACGTGTAATATGTGGTTAGCTTGTAGTTTCGTTAAATGTATTGTGAACTATTTTATAAATTAATGTGGCAATTAAATTATCTGTTGCCATAAAATAATTATCAGCATTTTATTACATTTTTGCAAAAATAAAGCGTATTATTTTTACCTTTACTCATTATTATTACTATTCAGTCGGTTAACCATTGAGGATATACATTTTTTTACATAACGCACCCAAAAGAGAATGGAAAATAAATCATACTACATTTATGAACATTTTCTAGTGCTGTTGATATTTTCATTTTTAATGATTCATAAAAATTTTGATGCATTCGCATTATATTTCGATAAACAAACTAAGAAAAATAATACTTTTGAGTTACTTTGTTAATCAACTTTCCAAATTTGATTTTTTCAGAAATTGTTACCGAACCGTTAAGCTCAATAATTTAGAAAGTTACTTACGAAGTTGCTTTTTGTCTGCAGTACCTGAAGTTGAAAATTGTTCAAAATTGAGTGTTTTTTAATTCTGGAACAACTCGTAAACTTTTGTTCAAGAAGTAGACAGATCAGGAGCTTCAAAACAAAAGTTCAATTATTTCTTCTGAATAAACAAACAAATGGTATAATCGAATAGAAAGTGACAAAAAATACAATGTATGAGATATTTCATATAAAGATGAATACTTTTATTGGAACTATTTCGAATATTGGAAACTTGTTCATTTTTTCATTTACACTTACTGGCCTACAACAATTTATTCCCCACATGCCAAAAGAGAAAACCATTGCTTCATGTCCAATCATAGAAATAATATAAAAAAAACAAAACAATTATCTTTTCTAATTCTAAAAATACTATTAGTCAGATCAATGTTTTTACATCAATCAATCAGTACTCAATTATCAAATATTTTAGTGCTCTCATTTTCCATATGAGACCTACGACATACAATAACCTACGAAAAGGAGGAACATGAAACACTTCTTGAAGCATTCGGATTATCATGCAAAGAAAATTTTGCAAACTTATTTCGCATCATGTAATTAGTGTTTTAAATGCCAATATTTTATACATCATTATTATTACACTTTACGAGTACAACACTTGATTCTTAATCTTATTGTTAAAGTTCTAATTTTTAGCATATGAAATAACTCAAATAATGGTCTTGATCGAAAAAATACATTTTCAACATTTCTTGCAACCTTAAATAAATGTCAATGTTTTTTATTTGGTTCCAGTTTTCAATATTTTACTGTCGAATTTCGATATTCTAGTGAGTAGGTACATCTGTTGATTGTGAAGTACAATTTAATCGAAACTTCGATATGGAGCAAATGGAAATGCAGGAAGAGAGTCCAATCAGGCGACGATCAACCTGGTCACATTGGGTAACCAAGCAAAAGCTCAAAAAGTTCGCATTTAATCTGTTTGTCGCCGCTCTTGTATATTTCGTTTGTAGAATGACAATACTCAAAGGTAAGTGATAGTCTCAATCGAAAAAAATTATACGTATATTTTCGAGAGCAAACTTCAAAAAACCTTCAACCAAACCTTCAAAAAAGGTAGTTTAGAAGACTTATTTTAAATATTCAGACTTTTACGCCTAGTTTTTATTTAAAAAAAATTGAGAAATTAAAATTTTCTATAAAAGGTGATGTCGAAAAACCAGCTCAATGCCAAACGGTGGAGTGCATTCAAGCAGCAAACCATATTTTAAGCTACATTAACCAGACCGCCGATCCATGTGACGATTTTTACAAATTTACCTGCGGCAAATTTCATGAAGGGAACATTGCAATGGAAAAGAAAACCTTCCTTGATGAAATGGACGAAAACATACAAAAAATCCAGGATCAACTGTTGACATCAGTTAATATAGACGACAGCAAGTTTAATACTAATCTTCAGGTTGCGCGAAGCGTAAGTATAACTTGCAGCTATTGCATATGAATATCTGCATCTCAAAAAATACGTTGAGTTCGAAAATAAACTCAGATTAATGAACGAACTTCAAGTGGTTGACTTTTTTGTAGTTCTATAAAGTATGCATAAACAAGGCAGCTGTAAATCAGGATAAAGATCGCACTTATGTGGACACAATGCTGAAACTTGTTAGCGATGCTGGCGACAAGCCATTGTGGCAAAATGTTACACTCAACGCCAGAAAATATGGAATAGACTACGATTTTTTCTTGAATGTCTCAGTTGCATGGATTCCGAAGACCCATTTGTTAATGGTGAGGTTATAAAAGAGTGTCCAACGGTGTCACCTTTTCTGTTTTGACCGCCTGTTGCAAGAAGCCACAGATTATTGGCTTTTAAAACTTTTTTGGGCCGATTTTGGTCCCGTTGGATAAACTGATGATTCACCACTTTTATAACAATTTTTTTTCAGTATTTTGCATAACACTACAAATGGCGCCCAATTTAAAACTGTCTTTCTTATTTAATATTCAATTTTTATAACATGCATCTTCATTTTTTATCTAGTACTCTGAAACAATCATGTTATAGCTTTCTTTGTTAATATAATACATGGTAAATGTATAATATAAATGTGCTCAAAAAAATGGCTCATATTTCTTGCATGCATTCACGTGAGCCCCAAAAAACCTTTGAAACTCCATGGTTGTACATGGTGTTTCCGTATATTTTAGTACCCAACTGCAGCGGTTATTTGAAAAGTTGTCAAACAATAGTTGAAATGAAGATTTTATGTTGTTTTCGATCAAAACTTTTTGGAAATCTATTTTGGACAAGTCTCCAATTTTGTACTTTTTTACAAGTTTAAAATTTCAATCCGAAAAAATCACGATTGATGGATACGTAACAATGTACAGAGCAGGGTGTTCCATTACAAAAAATTTGCAAACTGTTACATCTATTGAAACACATTTTCTAATCGATTGAAACTCGTGGTACTAAAGTAAAAATATAAAACTTTAATTTCAACAACTTTCTTATACCTTTTCAAATATAAACGGAGAAACCCTGTACAATTTAAGTGACTTATTGCAACATGGAACATTGACGTGCTTTAACATCTAGATTGCACCTCCCTATATAAGTCCTCACTGGTTTAAAATGTTATGGCAATCCAATAATACCGAGTATATTAAAAAAGTTGCTCAATACTGGATGAGCGACTATATTCCGCAATGGTTTTTGGCAGATCCAGACAAAATTGTTGATTTTGCTAACCAGTTTCAAAAGGTAGCCATACACAGTGTTGTATTTAAAATAAGTTTTGGTTGAATATTCACTTTTTTAGATAGTATTGGAATCTACGCCGGTTGCATCAAATGTGAGACAAAAGATACGACCAATTTCGGAACTTAAGCAAACCGATTACTTTAATAGGGATTGGTTGGTTTTCCTTCGAGAATTGACTGGTATAGAAAGTTTTGAAGATTCCGATGAGGTTCTATACCTCATAGATAATGGTAACACCGATAATTACCTGAGCAAATTGCACGATTTGATGGAAAGAACACATTGGAGGTAAGTAGTTAAAATTATATGAAAATATTATGAAATACTTTACTCTCGTTTGTTTTATGCTTCTAAATTCTTGATAGTATAAGAAATCAATTTGTTTTCCAAAAAATTGAAAAACACTGTGTCCGAGGAGTTTATTAAAAATGGAAAGTCTCTATCTGGATATTAGCATACATTTAGTGATCCCTCTTCTCATATCTTCATTTTGAATGTTTCGGATGATTTGGAGAATGTAAATAGCATTATTGTCGCTTTATGTCATTATTCGCAGTTTATTCCCATTTTCAAACCAAAAAATGGCGATACAAAAAAACAGCAAAAATTTCAAATTTGGAAATTATTAGTAAATAGTTGAATCGTTTATGACCAGCCAAACCACTCGGAGCAAAAACGCGCAAATACAAAGCAAATTTTTCTTGCAGTGTCTGGGCGAATTACATGATTATAATGAACACTGCACAACTATCAGGTTTATTATCCAGCCCCGTTCAACATATTTTCGAAGAGTTGATACCAAATTTCGTTGAAACGGCAAAAACAGAGTCCTGCAAAGATTTAACGCAGATAATGTAAGTCAATTTTTAAAATTTTCCTTATATTTCATTCAAATAAAGACAATATGTAGGTTTCCAGGAGCACAAGAGACAGAATACATTAAAATGTTAATGAACACAAAGAAGCAAAAACATGTTCAAGCAATAATGGACAAATTAAAATTGGTAATGGTAAATAGCATAAAAGATATTTTGTCAGTTAATCATAGCTCCACGGACGTAGTCCTGGATGAATTGAGAAACATCGCATCAGTTATTGGATCTGATAGCAATTTACATAACTCATCGGATCATGCACAGAATGGGGCCCAGTATGGAAAGGTTGGTTTGGAGCTAATGAGCAATTATTTATATTAAAGCATTAACATACTGTGTTTTTCATAAAATATGTTTACAGGAGATCGTGTCAAACAGCCTAATCGATATGTATTTCAAGATAAAAAAAGTAGAGATAAGCTATTTTTTTAATTACACTCAAATGGAAAATCAAGCTGATGTAAGAAATCCGATAATGAGTATAAGCATGTATTACGTTCGAGAAGAGAACACCATATGTAAGTTACATCTTGAACTTGAAAATGTTTTGCCCCATCAGCAAAGCCGCAAAAACAGCAAAAAAAACGACCAGTAATCCAGATGAAGGTTCGCAAATTGAAACTGTCGAAGAACCAGATAATAATTATATGAATTCGTTGGCGCATTTCAAGTAAATTTATTTGATAAATTGCACAATATTCACTTTTGTGAAAAATATTCAAATACGTTGTTCGTTTCGTCGTGTTTTTGCTTGATAATTTGTTTTAATTGAAAGGCAAAATAACACAAGTGCTTTCTTGTTTAGAAATGTAAACAAATTATTTTATTTCTTCAATAGTAGTTAAGTTTTTACATAAACTAATTAACTTTATAAGTACATAATTTTCCATTGTTAGAAAACTTTGATGATTGATTTCTCTAAATAAACCTTTTGTAACTTAGCCTAAGTTACAAAACGTAGGTTTTTTATTTGATTTTTCAATATGAAAAGTTTATGGATTTTTATCATTTTCATCATCCTCCTTCATTGATTTGGTGATTTTTAGACGTGCCAGCACCAGTTCTACAGCGTCCGATCTACGATACTAACTGGCCACAATATTTAAATTATGGTGCATTGGGAGCTATGATAGGACATGAACTGATGCATGCTTTGCTTACTACATATATCGCTTTAGACGTTGATCCGAATAATCAAACCGGATATACAATAGGAGAAGAGACGGAGGAGTTTGGATCCTGCGAATATGACAAATATTTAGAATACCTTACTGAACGTTACTTTCCCACGGTAATTATTTGTGCTCTATTTAAATACGTAGAATCATTTTGGGCGCTTTCCACGGATTTCTGCAAATATTTTGTCAGTTTTCGACTTTGTTATCACAATTACAAGACTTTTTAGCGCCAATTGTAATGATATTTAAGCACTATTATCTTCAATTCAGTTGAGTTTCAGATATAAATATTATCTCCTTAAACTCATCACATAGGTGTATGAATTAAATATGATGTTAAATAACTCAAATTATTCTCTCAGTCCACTGAACAGTAGAATTATTTGATTAAAAAAACATGTTTCGGCATTTGATTTAAGCAAATTTAGAACCAAATAATAGGGAAGATTATCCGTTAAGAAAATTTAGACACTCCTCAAATTTCACTTGAGAAGACTCTCCATTAAAGTGAAGGAAAACTCAATTTATTGTCGAACAAATAAATGTCATTTATTTCAGAACATTACGGCTGATACTTTGCACGAATCTATGGCGGATTTTGGTGGTCAAAATTTAGCATACAAAAGTTATCAGAGTTGGGTGAAAGAACATGGACTTGAACCGGAACTGCCTGGTAAAATATATTATAAGTTTAAGAATCATTTATCAGTCGTTGCATTTGGCAATTTATCATATAAGCCATTTTAAAACTTCTAAGAAAAATAAGGCTTTCTTCATCTTTCAACAGCGACTAAATAGTTCAAATTTACTTTTGATTTGCCAATTTGGTATAAACGCAATTATTTTCCAGGTGTAAACTACACTGCAAATCAAATATTCTGGATCATGTCCAGCATCCATTTATGTCATGACGCAAACTTAGAACATCCTGACAAAATGCAAGAATATCTAACATCTGAGATCGCATACTATTATCCTGTTCCAAGTTACCGGGTTAATGGTCCAAAAGTAAATTCGCCATCATTTGCTAAAGATTTTAGCTGCCAGAGGAATGCAAAAATGAATCCGAATAATAAATGTACGTCCATTGTTTAAGTACAAATATGTGTCAAATTCATTTAGAGTAAAACATTAAGTAATTCTTAGAAATCGGGATTTTTAAGAATCTACATTATACGCTTTATATAAAGTTTATTTTCGTTCAGTGATTTGTGAAATATTTTATATCCTTATGTGACAGTCAGAATATTTGTGTCTAAGTAAATTTTGTACACATTTTATTACATATTTAGTAAATTAAGATGTGGTTTTTTTATCTTCGTTTCACTACATGTTATCCAGTCGATCAATCCTCTCAGCAAAGATGCAATTTTTCTAATCCTAAGGCTCCATAAATCATCCAAGCCTCAACGGGAGCATTCACATTTTCATTTTTAATTGCAACGATCTTGCTGGGTTCTAATCATAATTGTTCTTCGATAACCAAACAACAAAAACAGCACTTTTCTGTTGACTTCTGCCCTCAAGTTTCTGAGCTGGACTTGCCACTGAGCAGTTAGTCGTCTTAAAGATTATTTATGCTTGGAGTGTGCAATACACTGGAAAAAGTTACTAACTTGAAGGAACTCTTGTATTATTAGTGTCTATTGCAGAAAAACCTGTGAACTAGCTGCTAGATACCATCTACTTCCGTAAATCTTAACTAATACGATATTAAAATGGCTAAAGTTCGTTCGTTAACGAAATTTCACAAAAAACTGTGCATCGTGGAACAAACTCCCCATCATTTTCAAGCAAAAACGTAAACGAGCTGCTTCAGATGTAAAATTTTATACGGGTGGTATTTACATATTTTTTTTAGACTTGCCTATTTCTCAGAGCAATATTTTCTCAGTATTTCTTTCAGGTATGATACATTTTTTCGGACATTCTAAAATTACACCACCAAGGAATTCAATTGCAGATATTAAATAAAGGACTTTCAAACCGCACAAGAACTCGTCCTTTTCATGATTGCCTTTCCGATGTAATGATAATTTCTTATCTAATGTTTCGGTGGAAACTCGGATATTTCTTCGGTAAAAGGCTCATTAGGCGTCGGTCTGCAAGGCCTTAGTTATTAAGCTACAGGTTGTCATTAATTTTTAGTTTTTCTAAGTTATTTTTGAATTAAGGGATACCGGGGCTGGTTGCTGCAGGGGTACAGTTGAGAGAGAACAGTAAAATTTTGCGACACGTTTTCCACTGCTGAACTAGTGTTTTCACATGAGCGACTAGGATGGTGTCGTCAGCGTATGATGATGATAACGGTGATGAAGAATAAAGCGACTTTGTCGTTGTTTTATAGCTTCAATTGTCTGTCTTCGAGTAGTTGCTTAATAAAAATAATTAAGTATTCTGGAGTACTGAGCTACACAATAGCTTGTAGAGTAAACCCTTGGACCAAACGCTCTAAAAAGCCTTACTTAAGCCTAAAACAAGCCAGGCAATTTTTCGTCCGATGACATTTGCGCGTTATATGTTGTTAGTAAGAACAAATACTGGGCGTATGCTGCAGTTTTTAGTCTTGAAGCTGAACTGGAAATTAATTAGCCAGACTGAACACCATCAAATTATTTGAACCATAACTACAGGGTCGATATTTTTAGTTTTAATTGTAAAAGTATGGATGAGTTTGCATTATCTTGGATAATGAAGAAAACAAAGAACTTCAGATTTGGCTTCATAAATTTTCAAAGGAAGTGGTATATTATACCTATAATAGGAAGTGAATTAACTGCAAAATGAAAAACTTAAAAAGTTTGAAGTATTTTATTGCTTTCTGCATATTTCAGGGCTGTCTATTATATGAATGTTCAGGAGTTGATCTAGTAAAAGAAACAATCTGTGTATTCACATATATTATTTTTAACAAACTGCCAATTATACAAATCCTATAGTCAATTAATATAAGAAGATTAGCCGCTTACATTTACTAATAGGCATTAAATCAAATCCGCGTTTAGCGCCTTGAAGTAAAACCGAGCCAAAAACTCTTTAAAAATTGTCTATCTGAAATACATTTATTTCTGTCTGAAAAGCACATTTTTGGCATGATATACATGTATGTGGTAGCATTTGGTAAAAACCAAAGAGATGGTAGGTATTAAAAATATTTCGTTGACAATAATGTTTTATTCGTATACGCGACTTTTTTCTAAATTTGTGGAATGTTGCAGCTCTATAGCTCAATAAGCCACTGTTCGGCCAGCTAATACATTCTGAGGTTGATGGTGGACAAATTAACATTGCTAATAAGTTAGTATAGAAACAATGGATCAGGCCAGAAGAGATGCAGCATCTATATATCCGGTTGTCTTCGTTTTAGTACTTGCACTTGTCCCGATTTGTACTTACATATATCTTGAGTTTGGAAGCAATATAAATGATGGTAAGTTGAAATTGATGGCAAGAAATCTGACATCTATTGAAAATAATATAAGTTTGTGCAATACTGTCCACTCTCTTCTTTTTAAAACTTTGCGTTAAAAAAACCCATCATGTATTTTAACGGTATTTTCTTCGTAAGAATTTCCAAGTTGAAACTAGAATAAAATGCTGGTTTATTGCCTCTACTTATTTATCTTTCTGACCTAAATCATGGTGATTGTAATAAATAGGGCTGATGCTGCAGTTTTTCTCATAAATCTCTTCAACTATACATTGTATTGTATAGTTACAATTTTTACATAAAATTTCTTATTTTGATTTAAAGAAGTCTTATAAATAATTTCATATCTTGTTTGTATGTAGATACTAAAGGCGAGAATATTTATCAAATGTACCAACAGGAACGAATTGATAAAAACCTAATTATTTTATGACCGATTCATGATATTGACAATTATATTTGAAAATAAATTTTTAGAGCCCGCTCCATCATATTGCGAAAGTGCATTATGCTACGAAACATTCAGGCACTTGACCGACACCATTGATCCTAAAAATGAGCCTTGCAACGATTGGTACTCATATATTTGTGGGAAGTTGCAAAGGACAGTCACCCACAAGAGTAATCTTATCATGAATCTGGAAACTTCAATTGAGGAGAAGCTAAAAGAATTGGTGACAACTAAAGAGTTTCAAGGAAAAAATCGAGATCAAGTTGATAACTTATGGTACATGAGGAAAGTACGTTTTTGCATTTCCACTTTCGTATCTTTTGTGCCTTCTACTGCTATCATTTAGTCATACTAACGGTTGTTTTCTGGTTCTGATTTAATAAGAGAGTTCCAAGTCGGTAACTATTCCTATTTCAGTTTTACCAGTCCTGTGTAGAATCGGATGTTGCTTCGTTAACCCCACCAAAAAACAAATACATGTGGATGAGACACGAAAAGAAGTTTCGCAGTGATATAATCCAGATTACCCAGGGTTGGCCCGTCTATAAGATCACCGAAGAACTGAGTGTCTGGAAGCAGTTGATGAAGTACATGGTGGACGCCAAATCAAAAGGATACTATTATGAACTCTTCTTGGAAGTGCGTGCACAGACAGACAATCAAACTGGGGAGGCTTCGGTCACAGTATGCCACTTTTCAAATTGTCTTTTCTATTATATTTGCTGGAATATTAGTTGTTTTTAATTGTTTGCGTTTGTCACTTTTTCAGATCTCCTATCCATCTTGGGACATGTTTCGGAAACACGACTCATTCTGGTCGAATCATCACAATGTCCATAGGATACTTTCCAGTTTCGATGAAAATCCTACATTTGAAGCGTACCTAGTATCGGACTTCAGGAGGGATCTATCCAAAGTAATTCTTAATTAATTGCAGAACACACCTCGTAATTAAATGTCCTGATTTTGCAGATTATCGAGAGACAAATGTATCGAGTCGCTCAGATGAAAAATCGTGGTCGGAAAACCTCGATCCATCACATGGTGCGAGGAAATCGATTTATCCCATTGTCAGATTGGATGCTTTTATTAATACAAATTACAAATTATACAAAGCTGAGTCCTGAAACTACAATTGAGTATAATTTATATAAAAACGGCTTCTTCGAAGACTTGGGCGAATTATGGAGGAAATATGGCTCAAGGTACAGACGTCGAGCGTACTGGTCGATCCGAAATTAGACTGCATAAATTAACTATCAACTGCGATCATTTCATTTACATGGTGCAGAACGTTAACTGTTTTGATGCCGTAATTCTTCTGCTTTTTATAAAAAAAATATATTATCGCTTCCCATATTATGGTCTGCGTTTATCCAAGTTTAATTGGCTTGGTTGAAACGTTTTTGCTTTGTTTTCGCGTATGACGTTGTTTTAGAGTTAATTTCGAAATTAGATGGCATGCATCTTATCCATTTTGAAGCGCATCCACAATTTAGCTCCTCTGCAATTGCATCAAAATGGACAAGACAGACGCAAAGATAATTTTGAAATTAACTCGAAACCGGTCACAAATACGACAATGCCGCAACAAGCAAAAACGTTTTTGAAATGATTAGAAAATTCAAATCTTGTGGAATACAGTACCAGTGGCGCACACCATGATAAGTTGCAATGCTTTCGCAATTGACCTAACTTTATCATGGGCTCTAAGAGAAACACTGAGAAAAACATTAAACATTTGACTCTCTGAAGCGATTAGGGACTTTATATGAACGTTGTGTTCTTTCGATCGTAGAGTATGCAACCGAATTTCGAATCATCGTGTATAAGAAAAAATAAAATGTGAATCATTCCAGAATCTGGGGGGCATATATTGCAATCGAACTATATCTGCGTGACTGTGACCTCATGCACATGAGTAATCGCATCTTCTGCAACATACACGATGAATACCGAAAAACGTGCGACGATGACTGCAAAAATCGCTGCTACAAACAAGCCAGAGAATAGTAAGTCTTTAATCAGAATATTTGGATTACTTAGAGGTTGTTGTTCAGATC